TGCTGTTAAGTGTATCACTTACTCAACTAAATAAACTCCTTTTGACCTGGCTGGGAGAAAGATCATGTCAATTATCATTAAATTTAGCAGAGTAAATCTAATTAATTAAATGATCTCAAGACACTACAGAAAGCATGGGAGAAACCTCAGGATTCTTTAACAGCCTGACCTTTATTTCAGGGTCCTTTATAAAATACTGCATTAGCAAACTGAAATGCATGATTTTAAAAAAAGATCAGCAGACAAGTGTGTCCAGTGCTTTCACATCTCAAAAGCAGAAATCTGAATATGCGACTGATTTAAACAACCATTTTTACCATATGGGGTGTGATGATTCATAAACTGTAGAAGGAAATCATAATAATGGAAGCATCCTTGAGAATGAAAGATTTCCAGGAAAGGAAGGACCCAGGGTATCTCTGAGTAGGTGTAAAAAAAATAGGTGGGAGGATTTTTTTAAAAAAAATGAAATAGTACAGTCTGCTCTGTTAATGTGAACTACAGAGATAGTTGTGTTTCTCTTTTTTTCCAGGCAGAATGTCTAGTAAATTGAATGTTTATACTACAATAATTGTCCAATTCCTTTTTAAAGAAAGCTTCTTATGTTAAAGTGAAACCAGTGGAATGCGAGAGGAGAAATGCAACTGCATTTCACATAAGAAAATTGTTAAATAGCAAACAGCCTTCCTTCCAATCTATTACATTTCAAGCCAGGCAAGAGGATAGACTTTTCAATGACATTTTAAAGGAATGGTGAGCAAAGTATGGCTCAGTACTGTAGGTGTTCACCGTAAGGTCATTTTTATAGCCTCCACCTTCTGCCTCCTCATTGAAATGCTCTGAAACATTGTTGTTTTCAGCATATTTTGTTATAAAATGGGGCGCAGGACACACACCCCAACTGCCTGACACACACACACCCAATTATAAAAAAACACAAAAAAGAAAACTGGAGGTAAAATTCCAGAAACCAGATATGGCCTACCTCTCCTATTTTTCAGTTTGCAAACCCATGGTAGGTCCTGTGGGTGGAAAACTGGCCCCAGACCATCCAAGACTCCCAACCCATGTTTTATATAATAATTTCTTTTTTTAAAATCCTATTATTATATTTGTAACTAATGGGCAGAACCCTACTGACATATAATTTGTTGTGGCTAATTGATGAGTTGCCAAGATGTATGTTGGCTGATCATATCCAAGTGGTTGATCATATCCAACTGTGACAATAAGATGTGCCCAGGCGCCTCATCAATCGCCCATAATTAGCCACAGCTAGTTACACAAACTTTATGCAAACATCAATAACTGGAAAAGGATACTGCTGTAAAAGGTTGGTCTGGTTGTTGTAAAGCAGCCTTCCCCAATGCAGTGTCGTCTTAAGTCTATTAGACTACAATTTACATCATGCCCATCAGCAATACCTACAACAATTTTGACTGAAGAAGATGGCATACATACCAAGTACATCCAGATGGCACCAGATTAGGAAAGGGTGCTAGAGCACTGGTTCTTAACCTTGGGTTATTCAGGAGTTTTGGACTGCAACTCCCAGAAGCCTTCACCACCAGCTGTCCTGAGTCGGGTTTCTGGGAGTTGCTGTTCAAAAGCATCCGAGTAACAAAGGTTAAGAACCACTGCTCTAGAGAAATGTTTGTGATGCTCTCTCACTCTCTCTTAAAAAAAAAACAACAACAATCAAGAAACCTTTTAGTGGCTACACATCATCTGTTTATTCTCTATCTGAAACTATTCTCTTGATTGTTCCTTGCAAAATCTTCTCTTGTTCCTGGTTTTATGAAAAAAACATAAACTTTTTACTTGAATTGCATGGATCTGAGCAACACAGTTTGGGTTATATGCAGATTTTTTTTCCCAACCAACCAACCAATATTCAATAAATACGGTGCTGTTATTTGTCACCAGGAAGTGGTATGAGAAATATATGTCTTGGATTTACTGAGGCTCTTCTTGTTGCCAATGGCAGCAAGCCGACCTCCTGTCCTGGCATAATGGCTCCACGTGGGAAGGTACTGGGCATGCCAGGAGGCTGATGCAAGTTGGGGGGAGGTAACAGTTGTGCAGCTGCTCCATGAGGGAGGGAGAGGAGAGGTTGCACCTCCATTTCCCCCCTCTGATAGTGGCCTGGGTGTGTGTGTAAGAGTTATACACAGATTTTAAACTACACTGGGGTCCCTAACCCAGTGTTGTTGAAGCGACAAACGTAGTTTAATTTCCAGGCAGCTTTTCACCATGATTTCTTCTGAGAACTACCATTCCCAGGGTACAATATAGCAAAGTACATGTGGCACCATCAGAATACATGTGCCACTATTAGGAGCTGGGAGAGAACTCCTGGAAAATAAACATTTGATTTTCTGAACACTCACTAAGAAAGCTGGTTAATTACAGTAGCGTCCACAGGAAGAAAAAAATGTCTGGAACTTCCTGATACAATCATTCCATAATGGAAAGAAAAACAGAGTTCTCAGCCCCAAAACAGCACATAACCTATCCCTTTCCACTCATCCCATTCCCACATTTCTCAGACTTCTATTCCCTGGTTCAAATTTTTCATTTTGTGGAGTAGAAGAACATATATCAAACTGGGCTTATAAACAAAAGAACTATGAAAACCGTAGTTTAAAGCTCCAAAGCAGTGTGGTAGCTTTGAAATAAAGCTGGTTTGCTTTAGACCACTTTGGATCTAAATTGTCTCAGTTTGGAGTTAATCAAAATTTCTCCAAATCTCTAGCGTGCAATTTAAATAAAAGGGAGGCACACTCCTAATAACTCCCAAGTCAATATCAAATTAAGCTAAGAAGACTTTTCCTATCACCAATGAGATATAAAGAAGAGTGGGTACCTGAGTTCAACTTTCCTGAAACTTGATCAAGCGCTCTGTTTACTATAGCAATCCTGAACAATAAGAGAGAGATTTCCTAGAACATTAATAGAGCTAAACTGAAATAATAATTTCTTTTCAAATGTGCAATGTAGTATCGCCCATCCTATTATTACAAAGTTTGTCTTTAACGTGGTGAATTGGATTCTGTTGCAACAGATGTGTAGCCTTGAGATGAACACTGGTTTGCTCTTGGAGAGACCATGGCAACAGCACCATTATATATTAGCTGTAATCCTTCACTGACTATGGTTCTAGCACTATCTTCATGCCTTTGTGAGCTCTAGGACTCAGTATTGCAGTTTGCTTTATACCAGACAGCTCTGGAAAACTGGGTTTTGAATACAGATAAATACAAACCAGACAGTTGTTTGAATATAAGAAAAAGGCATAATAATCTGATGTGTGCAATATGATTTGCGGTGGGTAGATGAAATTAATTTTCTGCATCTAGCAAACACTATGGAAATGCCACAGAATATTTAGAACCTCAATAAATTGTATTCAGGAAAGTGAATTCTTTCTAGGACACAGAGAGTGTCACTGAGATATTATAACTAATTGCCAAAACAATAGTGCCCGTGCATGGAAAACAGATGTGTAAATACTTCAATGGATTTCAACACTTACAACACATCCACTATGTTGCAGTGCACTTCTGATGCTCAACTATGTGTACTCACTATGTGTACTCATTGAGTGGCCCACTTTTTGGGAATGGGCCCACAGTTTGTGCAGGGGTGAGGGAGCCAATGTGTCACTGGTATAGCAAGTTGCAAAGGGACCCACAAAATCTAAGCCCTAGACGACTGAGTGATCCTTACAATTGAGGGAGTTGGGTGGCTGCCTCAGGTGGAAGATGGCAAGCAAACAGTAGTGAGGGGCGGGTGGTGTGTTTCATGGGCCTTGCCCTTGCCCTGAGCCTTCTAAGCTAGCTGGCTGCTCTCAAGTGAAGTGAGTAGGCCACCCCAACACCATTATCGAAGGTGCCTGTTCCACTGCTTTACAGCTTGGGCTTTGGTGCATGTAAAAGGGGAAAGGGAGACACCTCGATGTATCAGGGCAGCTCTGGTAATCAAATATAGGCAGGTTGTATAAGGCAGCATTTGGTGGGATAATGGCAAGGAAAGGGAGATAATGAAGCAGGAAGCCTGTAGAAAACGGGCAGACTCTCTCTCGGAGTTGGCTAAAGAAGAGCTGGGTCGGAAGTGTTAAGCCACCGGGACACTGAGGGGGCAAAGAAGGAGAGCCTCGTAAGCGGGGCTGAGCCTGACGAGGCGAGGCATTGCAGGCTGCCCTGAACTCTCCACTTGGTTTTCTTGCTGCCTCCCATACCGCCCTTACAAGCGACCCTGTGGAATGTGCCAGGGAACCCAGGGACTAGCCGCGGTGGGCGAGGGAGGCAACCGGCCCACGAGAGAAGGGATGATGGAAACCCGTCTGAGGGAGGAGGAGGAGGAAGAGAGTGGCGGGCGCCCCCACCTG